AAACTAAAAGTCGCTAGGGCTTCGCATTTTCAGAACTGATCGGAAACTCAATGGAGCACTTTTTCGTTCTTAAGTTTTCAAGTGTTACCGTTCACCAGTTTTTTCAGAAAACTCGGTTTTTCATTGTGCCACATTACGACCCCCCTTAAATTTCATCGGATCGCGTTCAAAATTTTACCTGAGGTACTCAAGACACTATTGCAGAGCTATTTCTTTGGAATTTTATCTTAGACATTTCTTTACCGAGTTATAGGGTTTCTAAAATTGAAAAACTTGGTTTTTAAGACATTTTTCAGTATTTCTCCTATAACTCGACCAGGGAAGGTCTGAAAAAAATTTCCGAAAAATTAGCTCTACGGAATGACCTTGAGTACCTCTGGTAAAATTTTGAACGCGATTCGATGAAATTTAAGGGGGGTCGTAATGTGGCACAATGAAAAACTGGTGAACGGTAACACCTGAAAACTTGAAACAAGAACGAAAAAGTGCTCCATTGAGTTTCCGATCAGTTCTGAAAATGCGAAGCCCTAGCGACTTTTAGTTTTTATTTCACAGCATTTCTACGGAAAGCCCAAAAAGAGGGGGGGGGTACCCTTAACAAGTACTTAGCAAGTGGTCAAGTACTTGCATCACGTACGTTCTCTAGGGAACCTAGCAACGTGAAGAAAAAATTCGTGTGATATTTTTGATAATAATGACTTTAGTTTCCTAACGGTAAATCCTTCTTTGAATTGAAGCGCAAACAAGACTGACTGAAGCGTCTGCCAAGTTTGGATTAGAAAAATTGATCTCTTTCTATAGATGAGCAAATTTTTTGGCCGTTTTAAGTGATTTCGCTGTTTACATTCTTTTTATTAAAATAGTTAAAGAGTCCTCTTACGCATGAACAGCATTACGATGCAGTTTTTGATGCTCTTTCTATAACCGTATCGAAATTGAGTTTAGAGAGAAACGTTCAAATTTGCGTTTGAATTTTAGGGTTTTATTTTCATTCAGAGGTATAGAGACTCTTCCTCATTTGATTTGTACATTTCGAATCGTCTCCAGTGAATTTTCATTGATGTTTTGGAAAAGTGATCAAATAGTACTTTTAGAGTAATTTTAGAATGGTATTCTACACTTTAGGATTGTATCTCTCTTTCTTACGGCTATTTATTTACAAATAAAAACTAACCAAACACATAATAACGGGGATGCAAATGAAAAATATATACTGGTAACATAAAAGAATAAAAACAGTGGTGAAATAATATAGTCTTTTTACGAATCACTGAAGTCCGAATTAGACTGATCCAGACTGTCTTCATCAGATGGCATCATTGATGATGTGTCATGCCCAGAAGATTGTGGAACCGTACAATTCGTAGTTATATGAGACGATGGATAAGTCACACGTAATTTCCAATCGGTTCCAGGTACATTTTGATAGAATGTATTTGATATATCATCATTTGAAGATAATGCATAAATCATTCCATCGCGTGTTGATAAATAGGAACTGTTTGATGAGTCATAAACGTTTCCATTGTTGTTTGAGTTATCACACTGGTTTAAAACAGTCATATGGCCTAAATCGGTCATTAGGGGTATACCATCAGGAACAATTGGTGATATCGCTGACATATTCATCATGCGATGAAGCTGAAAAACCAAAAACATAGAGTTGTCGAAATATTTTCTGTGTATAAGAGCCATAATTTATTAATAACTAAACTGTCGTCTGCAAGGTACGATAGTTTCTGTGCGCATCAATCTCTGTAGCGCAACAATACTTACTTTATCCGTTGAATATATATTTCTATTTTGTGTTGCTACATTTTTCTTTTTATCTTTACAACGTTTATTTTGAAACCATACACGAATAACTCGACTATTTAAACCAGTCATATCGCATAATTGTTCCTAGAAAAACAAAAGAGTGAGTTGAAGGATATATTATTGTCAAAAATTAGAAAGAAAACACCCATACTTTCAGTAATGCATCAGGTCTTGGATTATAAGCATAACAAGATTTTAGAGTATGCAATTGTTTTTCATTTAAAACCGTTCTCATTCGTGCTTGTTTGTCACGACGTGGACGACGTTCGATAGCAGTTGAATGAGTAACGGGCGATGTTGGAGGAGAATCCGAACATTTTATAGATGTCTGATTTTGATTTGGCGAACACTTGCCATTTGATGTATGAAGATTGACATTTGTCGTATCTACGAATTCAAAATTTTAAGCAACAGATTAAAGTCTTCAAGTTTTCCCTCTTAAATCAACTTACTAGAATGCGACCTTTTTCGTTTGAATAGACTTTTATTTGATTTTGCAGTTAACGGTTCTAATAATGATTCATTTTTTGATACAGTATGTGTATTATTTTCAAAACAATCGATAGATTTTAGTTTATCTGTGACGAGATTATTTTGATCAGTTTTTGTATTATTATTATTATTATTATTACTATTATTCATAATTGTTCCATAGTCATTGCGACATAGTAGACGATTATCGCTCAATGCATATTCATCACCAGTTTTCAAACATTTACCGCACGCTTCACAACGAAAACAATTGAGATGATAAACGTTTGTTCGTGCACGCATTATCAAATCATCTTTATTCAAATATTTTTCACACGAATAACATCGAGGGACAAACAGTCTAAAAGTACAAATACTGAGTAGGGTAGGGATAAATGCATTAAAAAATCATGATCTTTTTTTCCTCTTTCCATAATGACATTTTTATTTATCCATATTTTTCGATTCTGGCTCAACAATTCGATAATCAGAACATTTTTTCGGCCGACTCGAATGTACACAACAAGTCTAAATTCACTTCCTTTACTGTTTTGTCTCTATGCTTTTTGAAAATTTCACATGGCGTCTTTGGATGCGTTGAGTGCTAGATCCATTTCTGGTCAATCTAAGGATGTATTAGAACTGGTTCGACTAAAGCCGACTTGAACGTGTGCATGTGCACACTCAAAACTCCTTTCTTCCTCAGAAATCATGAAGAAAGCTCCACGTCGGATCATTTCCTTCTAAACAAAGTTCTGTGTTAAATGAAAAGATTTTGCAATAGGCTTGTGCAGATTCTTCGCTGATTTTATGCATCTATACCGGACCGCATGGGATAAATGCGTAAAAGACGAGGACTTCGCATAGTCTCTTGGGGATATTTTCAGAAGCTTTTATCGACTGGTCGACGAAAAAGAAACGTTAAAGATGTCGAACTATCAAGTTAGAATTGGAAAACGAGGACAAATAGGAAGGTTATGATTGAAACTAACAAAAATTGAAATTTCTTAACGCATTTCTCCTTCAGCATATTCTGAATAAAAATGAAGTATTTTTAAGCTTCACGTTTGTGCATAAAATCAGACACGCTGTTCAAATAGTTTTGTTCTCACTTGAGAGTATGCATTACGCATATGACAAGATGGAGAGTTTTTCGGACACTATTATTACCTTTGATAATCTTGTTTACAGTACGTTAAATCATTACGAATATAACATGTTGATTGTTCATCTAATTTTTGTTGACATTCCACACATTTCAAACAATCGGCATGAAATACTATTTCGGGTCGTACACATAATACATGTTGATCAGTGATATTTGATTTACAACCCGTACATATAGGCCAAGATGTTTCTAAAATCAAAAAAAGAAAACTGACCTAGTACAACAATATGAAGAGTATAAGCTTCATAGGCTCATTTTTTCAAAATTATTTTAAATAAAAATCTCAAGTTCTCCTCGAAAGCTAAGAGCTTAGCATCGGTTGGTGCCAAAATCGTTCTCCGATTATTATGAACTTAAATATGTATGGCACTGGTAGAATATCATCTCTTTCGTAGAAAACGAAAAGTACGACTATCTTACGTTAGCTATACATTTTTTTTCCTGTTAGAATAGACAATAACTATACAATTGCCGTTCTTAAAAAAGAATGATGCAGTACTCGAAGTTTTTGAAGGAGACATTAATTGATTGATATTTACTAAGCGATTGTAACAAATTACAAGGTATCAATCCGACACCTGCATATAAAACCTGTACATAAAAGAGAAATAAAAATCGAGGTTTACCAGTGTTATTCAAGACTTTGTTGATGTCTAAATCAGATATAGTCGTTTATTTATTAACCATAGCCTCTTATACTAGTCATTTCATTCTTTCCTCGTTTTAATATAGCAAACTATCTTAAATTCGAGATTTATGATTCAACTAATTTAGATTTTCTCATCTTGAAAAGTTTTGAAACTTCTAGATAAAACGAGATTGAATATTAGAAAGTGAGAAAACAGAAAGTAATTTTTTTGAGAATGTTCGAATTTTTAAGATGTTTAGTAGGACAAATATATCTCTTTTTTACCAGTGAATCGTAGCTCTAGTTAGTCACTAAAAAATAACACAGGCTCATAAGAAATAGTATTCGAAATGTTTATAGTGCTTTGAGGATGTTATTGTGCGCGAAACAATAAAAATGTTCAAGGACAGTCAATAAACAATTCTGATATTTCCCGAAGGTTTTTTTCTCTTTTTATGTTTCATAATCTTACTTGTCATAGTATTAATATTCATTTGAATTTTTCTTGATGAACAACTGTTTTAAACCTAATTCTCAAAGTACTTGTTAATTAGTACAATGATTTGTTAAATTTGATTAATTAATTTATAAGGCAACGATAGAAAAGAAAAATCACTTTTTTTCTTTTTCTTCTTCTTCTTCTGTTTGATTTTCAAAACGCTTGAAGGCGGGTGAAATAATATATTTCGTTTTTTTTTTGCTTCTCATTCGTCGTTGAAGAAAGAAAAAAATATATACATATTTTAAGAGAAGATCGTTTACTACACATTCTCTTGACTAATCACATCCATATATATCCATGCCACACGTATTACAATCGCTGTATATACACACATACACGCATACACATCATGAGTACTCATGTTTACATAAAAAATGTAAATAATACGTTTACTTTTACCACATCGCGTTTTCTATTTCAAAAAAAAAAAGAGAAGAAAACAAAGAAAAGAACAAAATTTTATTCGTAGACCAATCACAGTGCACAATATTAATCGATGATTTTGTGAATTTTTCGTTTGTATATACTCTATCTTCATAAACATATGTATCATCTCATCTTCCAATCATCTTTTTCTTTCTCCGCTCTTCTATCCCTCGAAATTGATACATATCTATAAAAAAAAATAAAAAATCTGTATCTGTTATGTTTTGTTTTAAAATATCTATTACAGAATCCAAAAGGCGGCTTATCAAACTATGGTATAAATAAAACAATTAGCTACAAAATGATAAGTGATCTCTTTTTTATTTGCTAATGATAAGATACAATGTGTACTTTGGTTTGGTAATTTATTAAAAGTACAAAACAAGTTAAAAATTACATTATCGACGTAATTATTACACATTTAGTTCCTTGTTATGGTTTAGAATTAATACCTATGATCAGGTTATTACAAGTATAAGATAAAAATCAGCATATTTTAATACTTATACCACTAATCTATCACTAGAAGAGATGATAAAGTCGTTACACAGTCGGATACTAGCATCGAGAAAGAAAAAGAGACAGAGAGTCAACAGTTTTTGTTGAAAGTGGGAAAATTGTTGTTCTTAGAGAAAACTCTATACCTTCTACATAGAAGATCATTCCTGCTTAACATTTCTCGATAGGATTAATACATATATATTCTCTATTTATTATAGACACCGTGTCGTTGTAGAATATTTGAATTTATTAAGAAAAAAAAGTATTGTCCTTTATGATAGTTTAAAACTTTTTTTCTATTCTTTTTCCTCTTACTCAAAGTATCAACAAATTTTGTTTTCTTATGTACATGGACGCTTGTATATGTTTCTTACAGCGGTAAATAGGTATTGTAAGAAAATGCTTAAGGAAGATTGAACAGAGTATAGAAGAGAAACAGTTGACAATACAAATAAATAAGAAGTTGAAGTAGATACTTGATAAGAAGGACAGCAAGTAGTATACGAATATTGTCTATTTGACAAGAAACAGGAGAGAGTGAGACACACACACACACAGAGACAGAAAGAACTCCCAGAAAATTTTATTCTTTTTTTGTGTAAGAAATTTCGCCACAAGAATAAACAGCAGCAACAACTATTGATATTGTTATGATGGTTATTGGAAAAAATAACACAGTAATTCCTACAAAAGGAATATATTTTTCTAGGTGTTATAAATTGTAAGACAGAGAGAGAAACGTTAGACAGGTTTCAATCTGTTTTGTCCTTCTTTTTTAATTTCATTTCTAAATTTGTATGACTTCTAAATGAAACCTTCAAACATTTAACTTTTTAATTGTTCATGTTAGAAAACAGAAAAAGAAAAATAATAACAACTTAAATTTCGATTTTATTAACCCGACTGTGCCCAAATTTTTCTGAGAATTGAAGAATTTTCAAGTATTTTAGGGCGAAAGATATCGAATTTTATGAACTCTCACCTCCAAGTGTACTTTTCACATGAAAATAAAATATTCACTAAAACAAATTACTAAATCTTTTTTAGTAATTATAATCATTAGACAGGATAACGATATACTTTACATAGTGTTCAGTCAAAAAAATCATTTGTAGAAGCGATTGTTAAATGACTGTAGATCTCCAAAGTAATGATCGTTTAAATGATCATTGAGCACAAACGGATTAATTTGAATTGATTGTTTCAGTTTCAAAGACTGCATTTACTATCTTTTGATTGTTAAGTGGTTAAGTGTTGGGATATATCTATTTTTGGATGACAGTATATTCATTCAATGATAAGTGAGTCCTCATAAAAGGATTCATTATTGCATCAAAGACAAGTTTCCCTTCCGGCAGTATTTTCAATTTTTAAACTCTGAACATCTTCATAAAAATATATACACACAAGTGTAAACGTTTTTAATTGTCCATTAGCTATATCTCTCTGTGTCGATCAACAACTCTCTTATGATACAATTCAAAAACTGAAAGAGTTACAATTTTATTTTTGTATAAAAAAAAAAAAATGGAAACAACGTTTTACGAATGTGTCAATGACAATTATTTTTAGAAGAAAAAAAAAATATGTGTATAATAAGAATGGGATGTAAAGATATCGATTAGTACTAATTATTAGCACTCATTCTATAGTGTATATAATGCAGAGTACTGAACATATGTCATTTTTTATAGGAGGAAAAATATTTTATCAAATATAATGTGTACAAATAAATAGAACAACATCATATTAGTTCAAGTAATGCATTATAATATAAACAACATCAAATCTTCATTCTTTTCTTCTTACTTGAATACTTAGATACATTTACACTAAAGACAGACAGGCAGATAAAAAATACATACTAAGTCAAAACTAAACATTAAATTATATCTATCATTATTGGAGAATAGTTTATTTCTATTTTGGTTTTCTCTTCAATTAGATATGACATATATTTACTTTTACGGGAGAAAATTACTCTACAATATTGGATTCCATCCATGATCATATTTTTTAATAAGAAAAAATTTTTGAGACTATAAAAAGTGAATTTGATTTTGTCGATGATAGAAAAAGATATAAGATCTATACTAATGGCATTTATCAATGCCAGTTATAGATGTCTCATATAAAATCATAAAAATACGATCATAATATATTTATTTTCTATTTATACTATAGCAAAATGTTTTCTCCCATTTGTGAAAAGGTCACGCTACTCTGATCTCATTGTATATCTATATACTTTAATTTTCTTTAATGAACGGTATAAAAGTTCTCTCAAGTGTTATGTAAGTCGGATAGCGTAAAATGAAGTCGACTGTTTCGTCTAAAATCTTCGATATAAACAATGATAATATGCATTAATTGAGTTAAAAAAAAATTATAACAGAACTAAAAAGTGATAAAAAAAGTGTTTTTTTGTTGTTTGAATTTCGCATCTCAAAAGAAGAGAGGTGTTTCAGATCAGTAGATTTGACAACACTTTAATAGATTTCTTCTTTTGTTAAATAAAGGTGTTAATGTAATAACACCAAATTTATCCTTCAACTAATGGAACCATGGTGTTTATTACACCTGAAATCATTACCATCATTATCAATGAACATGATTAGATTAGATAATAACAATAAGACACACTTAGCTATGCAAATATCAACGTTAAAGATCAATATTTAACGCATCAATGAATATCTAGTGATCCTAAAGAAGAGAAATCCATTACAAACATTAATCACAACATCTAAAATAGAGCCCTGTAGGACAAACTTTAAATTGGAAAATGCGCAGGTTACAACAAGGATTCGAACAACGAAAATTTTCAAAGGTTAGTTGCATGGGTGGCAAAAAAATCCATGTTTTGCACGGCTACACACTGTAAATCGAGAAACTAAACATTGAACGTTATGTATATATAGGGCTAGATGTTGTGCGATAGTAGAAGATGCAAAAAGATTACTTATTCTACAAACGCTAATAAATCCATAACGTAATCGATAGGAAAACTTTGAAACTTTCTCTCTATTTCTGAGAAATTATCTATCTTCTTAGACTATCGTTTCTTTGCTTGAACGCAGAAATTCATTAGAGTATATCAAATTATTTTTTATTTTTCCATGATTCAAAATTCGTCCATATGTTTATAGAATAAATACGACTGTCCACTATTCGTTTGTTTTTTCAGCTAATTTTCTCTCTTTCTCTCTCTTTACTCTGTATATTTATACGATTTAGAGTAATGTTGATTTATCGACTTGATGTATATATATACATACATACATACATATAGAGTCATATATTATTCCATAAACATCGTATTTAAGAGTGGGATAACAGTATGAGTAAATTTATGTCGCATATAAACAGAACTCATGACTGCTGATTTACTTGTTGATTAAAACAACAATCAACCATATACAAGTGAATAAAATCACCTATGATGCAACACATGATGATTAGTTACAAAACTGACATTAAATCATTACACAGTTGATAAAAATTATTATGATTTTTTTTTAAACGATTTCTCAATTATCAAGCTGATAAAAATATTTATTTTTCCATACGTAACATAGTATGAGTGTATAGGTGTTTTTTCTTTTGACTCGTGTACAATATATTACACAACATACTATATATCAATATTTTGATATTTTATGTATTGAAAACAGAAAATCGCTACAGGATAGAGAATATAAATTAATTGTCATTATGATCAACAGAAATTCAAGTGACAGATTAGAATCATACTGAAGTACTTGTTCTTCCGAATTTTTATATATCATTATCATTATGAAGAAAAATTAATCTATGACAAAAATGTTATAGTGACATAACAAATTTTTCATCTACTAAAACAAATTTTCTTAATGTTTTTTTGTATCACAAAGCAGCTTAATAAAAATCTTCGGCTCTTATTAGACTTTTAGCTGCCAAACTCACTGCTGGAAGCTAAAAAACTGAACTATCGGAGTTATATCGACAAATTACTGTTCTTCTTTATTCAGTTTATAACGTTGTATTTCAGACACGTTTACGTATTTAATGTTGCTGTATAAAAAGAGAAACTAAAAATTCTGATAAACACCCAGAGACAGATTTTTGGTACTTCCATACTGTCGAAACATGGGAACCAATGTGTGTCGACACGTTGAATTAGTGTCTTAATTTGTAGTTACAAATATTTTCAAGTGCTAGAAGATCTTTTCCATCAGTGCTCACAGGCCATTGCAAGTGAACTTTCCACTTGTGACTATCATTTGAAAAGATACACTCACGTTTTTGAGACACTTGTGAAAAAAGAGAAGAGAGAGCCTCAGAAAGAGCCTCAAAACATTGTCACCCGTTTCCATTCATTGAGATGATATAGAAATATTAAAAATGAGTAGTTTGCTGTATAAACATCATCATGACTTTCTATATCTATCTATTCATGAAAGTCTTCATAATCATCTTTTTTATATTTAATCATAAGCTCATTTGCAAACCGGGAAAATAGAGTTTAGTTTATATTTTTCTGGTGAAAAAAGAAGCCCCATTGATCCGTCATATACAACAAACTAAATATTCATCGTTCACAGCTTGATTGAATTAACAATAACTGTATGATTATAAATCCATTCTTTTGTAAATGAATGAACGAGAGGAGTGAAATAATGCCCGATCAAGCACAAATAAAGAGAGAAAAATGTTTTTCTTTCAAACATATTCATATTCTCACATCTCCAAATCCATAATTGGCTTTGATCTCGTAGAGATTCTGTTTAAGCATACACTGGTGAACATCCGACTGTTTAATTGAATTTGTGTAAGAGAGGAAGATTGAATATACGACGATAAAGAAACAAATAAAATTCTAATTAATGATGACGTAGTCGAAAAAAAGAAAATTATTATTCCTAAACTTGTTACATTGTTTTGTACCCAGTTGAATACATAAAGACACTTTTCTCCACTTTCACTCATCGTTTTTTAATATTATTCTATTATAGTGGACATGATCACATTTTTTTTATCGAAAGACGAGAGATGAATTTTTCACAATTTATCGATTCTTTAAAAGAAAGTTTGCTACAAAGTCTAGATTTGTTGTATGAGTTTGTATAATTATAGATGATTTTATAACAGTAATGAAGACTATTACTCAAATTTTATACTGAACGTATTAATACAACAATATGAAACCTATAGCTTCTAGATGTAGAAGGAAACAACAATCAAAGTAAAACAGCGGGTAGTCTTAAACAACCTGCAACTTCAGCTCAAAGCCATAGACCTGAAAAACATATGATGACATAGTAATCAACGAATTTTAACAAATCTTGTATATTTCTCAGTACAAATTTTATTAATTTAATTATTCTCCTCTAGCACAACGTTGTTCTTTTCATGAATCTAACAAACATTTTTCATTAGCTCTAAAAACAGCTTCTATGTCACTTATCTGCTCCAGGCAATTGAAATATGTCAAGTTCGTATAACGGAAACACCTTGTTTTTTAATGATAAGGGAAAAAAAATGAGCATAGAAAAAAAACGTGGGGCACGTGCCAGAAAAATATTCAAATTCCGGTTCCACTATTGTTAAATATTAAGAAAAAGAGAAAAAAAACCTGGATAACGTACCGTCTATTTTTTTTCTTTTTGTCAAGTAGGGCATGCCGCCTGTTTCAAGTGATTCCGGAATAAAAAGATACACATGATGCGAAAGAATTTTGTTCATGAAAAAAAACTAATATGATTGATGAACTGTTACCATCATTATCTACCTCTACGAGAAAATCTTTTTCATCCTCGTAAGCATATTATAACCGAAAAAAAAATAATGTCAATAGAATTGTTTGACGCTGAAAATAACAACAGCAAAAAAAAATACACTGTCATCTAAGCATGTATATCAGAAAAAATAAGACATTGAATATGAAATGCGTAAAGTAAAAGAGTTATTCCAACATGGAACACTAACTCACAACAATAACATATATCTTATTATAGTCATAGTAGTGTTAATCTTTCATCGTGAAGTGCATTTTGACTATCATCACTTCCACGATCACTATATTGAGATGTATCAAAACAACTCTCATCGTCCGATGGAAAACTCATTAGACTATCATAAGCATTTGTTGGAACAATGCCATTAAAATCAGGTGGTGGACCGTTTAAGACGAATGCTTCTGACATTGTTTTCCAAGGTCCACCATTGATATTGAATTCAACTAACGTTGGTGGAGGTAAACCAATAGACATGTCATTGTGAACGGGACTAGAGGCAATTAATGGGATACCGTGACCAAGACTAGTTAATACCTGAAAAAGAGGTAAATGCGTTTGAATAATCAATCAGCAAGCATAGATAGTTGACAGATAAACAACGTTGTCGTATACGTTCTTTAACAAAGTACATACATATACGCACGCTAGCGATTGTCATTTTCTGCATTAAATATTCATTTCATTTAAAAGTAGATCGTAGTTCAAATGGCGTTATTAAAAAAACGATGTATGTCAAAGCGACATTCCACTATTTTTTACATGAACGATTTTGAGAATAATCTTATACGCAGTTATATATATATTTCAGTACTTACTTTCTGTTGTTCTTGTGTTTGTTTTGCTAATATAGTTTTTTTCTTATCCTTGCAACGTTTATTTTGAAACCATACTCTGATGACTCTAGGACTAAGCTGGGTCATTTCAACTAATTGTTCTTTCATTAGTGCATCAGGTCTTGGATTTGCACCATAGCATGTTCTCAATGTTAGCAGCTGTTTCTCATTTAAAACCGTTCTCATTCGTGTTGTTTTATCTTTACGTTGATTATTACTGCCATTATTACCACCGTTATTCGTTGTTGTGGTTGCTGTTGTTGTTGATGACGAAGACGTCGAAGATGATGAAGATGTCTGAGGTGGCCGAGAAACAGTCGACGATGAAGTATTGATTGTAGTGTTTATTGTTGATGGAGCTGTGACTGATGATATATGACCTAAATAGAAGATAATCTTTACATTTCGTGAGAATAATCACTCTTTTAAATAAACATGTTAGTGTATAAGCAAATAGGTACTACATCCAGACATTTGTCAATATAATTCTGTTTACTTATTTAAACACATGCATTATTTTCTTCATTCAATCGCTTTTCTAAAACTTTACTTTGTTTTTTTTTATATCATTAATTTAGATTTTGGTTGCTTTAATTTATTATCGAACAGATCTCGAATAAATTTGTATGTGCATAATGTCAACTGTCACAACGTTCAATATGTTTAACAAAATGAAGTTGTTTTCGGCTTGATGAGTTGAAAATTGACTCTATTTATTCATTCATTCATCAACTTCTCTTTCATATACATTTTGAATCAGTTAACTTTATCTCTCTATCTATACTAGTCTTATATATAAAGATGTTTTATTTAGTTTTCTTCTTCTATTCTCAATAGGTTTCGGAAATGTTATTGTCGATTATCATTATCCCCATTTGCCTTTAATATCGAAAAATCATTTATCAAACTTATCAAATATGTCTTCTTTCAACTATTCAATGTCATCCAATTGAAATATATATCTACTGTACATATATATATTATATACGTATCAATGATGCATAGGTATCTTTTGTGTCACATTTCAAGTACAAAGAAGCGAGCATCTCTAAGCAACAAAGTGAGACTCGATGTTTGTTAACTGTAGCACTTTATTATCATTGTTCCATTTCATATAGTCTGTTAATAGTGCTTAAAATTGATTATAGAGGTTGTAAAATATAATTAGAGCCTCATGAACACGTGCATTATTAAAGCATCCGGTTTTAAAAGAAAATCTTCTTTCTTTTTCACGCTATACTAATAAAAGAATTAAGCTTCTATTTCTTTTTATTTTTTTTTTTGACTTTTGTCGTTATTCGTGACATAGTTGTCAAACGTTTTATTTTTTTGTCCATATAGATTTAAATGTCTATATGAATATAATTATACATGAATGATTAGTATAACAATGAATTGCATATATATACTGATCCGACATCCGTTTTATACTTCCGTCATAACCGGAATTGTTGTTCCCGTCGTAGCAGCAATTCTCATACAACGTTTTTTCTTAGTATAGTAAAAAACAAAAAACGCATTTTTTTTTTCTTCTTCTCCTCGAACTAATGACAACAAAAACAACAACAACCATCTGACAAAATAGTCAAGATTATTATATACTTACATTTACCATTTTTTGATTCGATGCAATCATTTGTCAATGTTGTGGGTGATTTAGAATTATTTTCTAATTGATATTTGTTGGTTTCTTCTAGTTGATCATGATCTTGACGACAATAAATCTCATTCTCTTTCAATGAATATTCGTCGCCTGGCAATAATAATTTATCACATATATCACAACGAAAACATTCTGTATGATATATTTTATATTTTGCACGCATAACAAAATCATTTTTAGTAAAATATTGATGACATCTTGAACATTTTGATGTAAATAATCTAAAAATAAATGGTTTCAGTATCAGAATACATATCAAATATTAAAGGATAAAGTATTCACAAATTCTACTATTATTTTAAATATTTGGTTATCTAACGATTGAAAATTAGTAGTGATTGATAGATTAATATTTAAGTTCAGCCGCTGACCTGGTCAAGTGTCAAAATGAATGAGATACAAACTATCTGGTAGAAAAGAGTCATCCTTTTTCTGTCATACATTCTAATTCTACTACACTTTCACTTTTCTAGTCAATTTTTCGATATTTTATCTATAAAATAAACAACTAATCTTAATAGAAATCTTGCTCTAAAAAAGTTCGTCATTCATACTAATGAAGAAACCTTATGTTGTATGACTGGCTAGTGGAAACGTTTAGATATCTGTTAGTTAAGATGACTTTTATTTTCTCTTTCAAGTGAATAAATCTAAAAAGATAAAACTGGCACTGTACACACTTATCCTAATATAATCATCATCATAAGATTATTTATTTATACAGAAAGATTTTCTCTCTCTCTCTCGTTGTATGTGTGTATTAAGCTGAAAAGAATTTTCAATCGAAAAAATTGTGATTGTTGAAATGTCATCAATAGCAAATGGACCTTATCATTTACAGATTCATCAGTTAACATACACTCATCCCAATAGTTTGACCTTTGGTAAAAAGAATAGAAATTTTTCTACCATGAATAGAGACGTTCCGGAAAAAAAAAGTTTTTTTTTTTTCTTAGATCAGTAAATTAGACAGACTAGCGATAAAGAAGATATTTTAGCACGTGTGTATGTATGCATATATATATATATATATGTCTGTTCAAAATTCTCAATGTGAGTTACGTTTTTTTTCTTATTCTTTATTCAATAGAAATATTAGAGAACAGCTTGCATCCGAGAGTAAAAAGGCTGAGTAATTTCAATTCCTTCTTTTTTTTTTATTTTTTCTTCTTTTGTAAAACACTTAACAATATTAGTTCACTCTATACACACATCTAGCTAGAGATGGAAAAGAAATGAATTCACAGATTACATGATAAATATTATTAGTATCATCGTCACCTTTCTGTTATAGAATGAACAGATGAATAATGAAGAATTTTCTGAATTGTTCAAAATCGTACACGCACGCAATACTTGTCATTGATACATAACTTCATTAAAGTGGCTCATCACACTAGATACATTTCTGGTGTATTTCAAACCTTTTTTTTATTTTTCTTTCATCTGATAATTGCTCACTATATATATATATATATTAATCGTGATAATTTGAAGACAAATACACATCTAACAAGATGTTAAGAATGGTAATAAACGTTCATTTTTATATGTGATTATATAATATTGAAAAATTATCTTTAGAAAGTGAATTTTCTAATTTCATCAAGTCCTATTTCACAATTTATCTATTCAAAATTATCTTTAATGATAAAATTGGAATATGAAATCCACTTTGCCTGAAGTTTAACTATTTAGTTCTTGTGTTAAAGATTGATAACATATCAATAGATTTACTTTAGAATCTCCGCTCTTCACCGACAAAAACATCAGAATTAAAATGTATTGATATCAAAAAAAAAAGAAGTATCACACATTCTCACTATCTTTTACCTTGAATAGTCTAGTTTACAATAAGTTTTACCATCGCGAACAAAACATGTTGTATTTTCATCTAAATATTGTCCACATTCACTACATTTTAAACAATCGGCATGCCATTCCATATTAGGTGCTACTTTTAAGATAAATTGATCAAATATTTGACATCCGCAACCGGCACACATTGACACTGATTTTTCTAAAAAGAAGGAAGGTTTTGACAACTTATCCTTATCGAAACACAAATAAATAGTCGGTATAGTAATTACACACAATTCAGAGATAGCTCGAACTAACGGAAAAATTTATAATCTTCGCACAATCATAAAAATAAGAAAAGTCATTCCTCGACCGAACTTCTTGGTATTATAAAATATTTTTTAATATTTTAATGTTGGTTGTATCTTATACATAATCATTTAATGCGAAATGATTTATGAAACACTTACCAGTATAAGTTAGACCATTTTGTACGGTATCAATGCAATAACGATTTGGAAAATATCGAGATAGCTTCAAACTATTCTTCATTGTATATTCTGCTACAAAAAAAAAAAATGTCCCAGTAAAAAGGTATGTGATTTTAGAGAAAATAACAAAATTTATGAAAATTGGACACCGTGACCGGAATCGTAGTAGAATAGAGAGTTTTTTAAAAAACTTTTTATACTTACTAATTAAAAGTTAAAACTTGCATATACTGAATAATAATCCATATGTTTTATGCTCGATTTGATCATCATAATTCATAAATTCAGAAAATAATGTTTACCAAGTATTTTTGGAAAAAAAGATTTTATCGTCTTGAAAAAAACGTTTATAATAGTTTGTTTGTAGTCTATGACACTTTTCTTCTTTTGAATATAAATACTTATCTCAATTAAACTATTATGTTATTAATTTGTTCACAAAGTTGACACAATAATAGATAAACCACCATTCGTATTTAAAATTCTGTTTTTTCTTGATAGGACCATTATATCTATTTCTCATTTTCTTTGGTTAAGATATTTTTCTTTTCTTTTTCTATATATTCCTTTAGTAGACCTTGTTGTTTTCTGTTCTGTCTATACCTACAATGTATTTCAAACAAACCTTAAAGAGAGAGAAAGAGATAGAGTAATACAATGAGAAGCGGACGATTTTCTCATTGGTTAAAAGTGTGAACAAAATAATAGTCGTAAAAAATAACGTTTGTATCAAAATTATTTTCCCTATTTCTTTTTCTTCTTCTTCTTCTCTGTTTCACAAAAAAAAAAAAAATGAGAAAAAAGAAATGGAAATAGTTTTTTTTACTATATACTATTAGTCGGAGGAACAAAAAAAAAAAATGAGTCCCTCTAATAGCAACTATGGAATAATGAATGAAGTACACAAGAAACATTTTTTTTCTTCATCTGATTATCTAGAGTTTAAAGGTAGTTTTGATGAGTGTAATTGTCGACGTTTCCTCCATTCAATTGAGAAAAGCGTTTTCTTCGAATTTATTGTGACTACACCTTACTTCTACAACAAAAAAAGCTATCATTGTGAAAAAACCTAAACAATTTTCAAAATTATAAATCCGAAGTTACTAAATAGTTTAGAGTGTGTACGAACGATATCAAAACGTTTGGATGAATATAAAGTATTTTTATTGGAAAATATTTGTGATGCGAATTGGTATTTCAACACAGATATCTTTGTCTTTCAACAGGATAGATGCGAATCAGAACTCATATAAAAAAAAAACGAAAAATACGAGTCAGATTAGCCAATTAAGAAAGAATTGAAAAAAGAAAGTTTACATTTATATGAAATAGTTTCAACTTTTCGATCAGTCGTTATAAAACTTGACTATATCGTTGTAGAAAACAAATAGATATTGTAAGATATTTGTTTTCAATGAAAAAAATATGTATTAAATAATAAATGTTCATTGAATCTTTTATTTTTGTTTATTTTTAGTTTGTTAGAAAATAAATATTTCACTAATTGATTTATATAAGAAAAAAAATAACAAATCAATGTTGATGATAAAAAACATATATAACAATTTTACAAGAAAATTATTTGATAATTTCATTTTGTTATTTTTTGCTTTGCAATTATTGACTATAAAAAAAAAAAATGTTTTACATAATTATTTTTAAAAACAAAATTGCTCGTATAATTTGATGATTGTTGCACTTAACTATTTTCCTTTTCATTTTAAACACAAGGAAAGTATTGCCTATGTTTATATGGGCGGCATAAATCTAAGAGTACAACCTAAAAGGACTACCATCTAGAGAAGATGTTGACAAGTATTTCAATATGTTTTATAGAATGATGTCTGGAGGATGAGTATAGTAAACTAAGTGACTCGGTACTTGATAAAGGGTCGGCTCCGCCTTCTTTCATCTAATGTATTTATGCCTTTAGATTTATATATTCTATCGTAGAACAAGACAAAAATAAATGAATTGATAGCATAATGGGAAGGAAAAGAAAGAAGAGATTTTCGAGCAATAATAGTGATGTTGATTATCTTTAACGATAACACAAAAAGAAATGAATGCTTTAGGCTTAATTTCTTATATTTAACTCTATCTACACTGTATATGTATGTATTTTTTGTTTAAAACCGTGATTTATTCACCTTTTTCATCTTATATTTGTGGTATTTAAATAGGAGAAAACAGTTTTAAAATTGTTTGATCAGAAAAATATTACACTATTATCGTTTGTTGAGCGACAAGAAGAAAAATATTATTCTTTTTATCTACATAAGAGAAATTGTCAGGGAAAACCCAGAAATGTTAAAGAATTTAATCTCAGTGGTTCGTGATACTAAACAAAAAGAAAAAAGAAATTTAATCAATATTATATACCTAAATGACTGATAAAATATCAAAAAGTAAATATTATTTTATTTTAAACGATATTTGATTAATGAACGATTATTGATATTTATGCTACGAACAAATTGATCTTCATATGTGACAGCATCAATCAAATTTTTTTTTTTCAACTAAAAAAGGAAAAATATCTCAATAACAGCGAATCTTAAACTTTTATTTTAAAGCAGTTTTAACACTTTGGGACTATCGTGCTGAGCAAATTCTTTCATTCAATTGATCATCGGTAGATTGAATGATTAATAAAGTTAAACTATTTTGTTTGGTTAAAGAATGTCTTTATATGGATGTCATAATGATTCAATTAAATCACATTTCGGCATTTTGTTTTATTTTTTTGCACAAATAACATGTTTATCTAGATATAATTTTCGTTTTTTTAACTCGTTAAACTCAACGTGTTTAGACTTCACCATTTATGTATAAAGTTAATAAAGATAAAAAATAAGCAGTTCTTTATCTTCATGTATACTACTATCATGACCGCCTCCTTCCGTTTTCCTAATAAAATAATGTACTCATGCTGTTCGAAATAACATAACTATTTTAGATAAAGAGTGAGAGACAAAAAACATGGATAAGAAAATTGCAGAATAAAGATGTTTTAATCCTATTTCGATCACATACATCTCTAGACAAATGATTATAAAAGCACTTGTTTCCTTCCTTCTGTGTACTTTTTTTGCCTCTTGTCAAGAATGAGAGCAGAAGAACTCATATAATGACAATGAAAATGAGATGATCAAATTTTTTTGGCATAATGTACACGATCGTTATGCTCTTTTAATAATTTTAAATTTTTATTTCATTTTTCAAATTTAGTTAGAAATAAAAAATGAGTGTAAATAGTACTTTTATTGGTTTTTATGATACAATCACTTTCAGAGCAATCGCTCTCTATTATTGTAATATAACATAATCGAGATTATTGTACAAGTATTCAATTTCTACTCTCTACCTGACATTTCTAATTTAGTCTCAAACAATGTTCTTTTCTAGAAAGTAAAAATGTGTAAATTTTGAACATTATTTTTCTTTTTTTTTTTTTGTACAAGGAACATATCGACTTTCTGTTGTTTTTTTTTTTTGTTTCTTCAAATTTCATTGTCACTTGACATCTGCTAAATATCATTCTACGTGCTGATCATCAGTTTTTTTTTTAAATCCGATTGTTGTAATCAGCTTTCTTTTCTTTTTTTTTTTCGTTTTGCCTTCCCTATGTGTTGTATTGTGGTGATAATAATTATTATTATTCTTTGAGATGATTTTTAATCTGTAGTCAACACGCATTTGTCATGAAAAGAAATTGAACAGTTGTGTTGACAGGTAGAGACCCAAGGGCGGAGTAACTAAAAAAAAAAGAGAATGTACATGGACAAAATGACAGTATGTTTCGCTCAGCATCCTTACTACATTAGTAGTTTTAAATCTCATTTCCTGTTCTATGCAGGTAGTTTATTGTCATGCATGATCACACAAATACTACTTATGTTAAACCATATTCTTTTTTAACTTCTCACGCACTAAAAATATTCATGTAAGTAGAATAAATTGTTGTTGTTTTTTTCAAAGAAAAAAGTTTAATAAGTACACAGTATCACTTTGATTAAATTACAAACAGATTGTCTAGTATATTTAAAGAATGGAAGATCGATAGTAAAATTGTTCTGCTTTTATTTTTATTAAAATTTTTTTTTATCAATTTGACGTTATAGTATCATTGTCACTGGTACCTTCTCATGCTTCGACGCTCAATTGTAACAGTATAGAAAATTTTCTTTTTTAAAACTATCATTATTTCATAGTTTAGTTCATTTTTTTTCCTGCATATCCATAGCGCATCATCAATCATAGTCTGTTATTACTGTTGAACATATTGTTTATTAAGAAAACAGTCAAATATTATTCTCGTTTAAAAAGTAAACTGTTTGTCGGTTTTCTTGGAAAAAAAAATATACCCACATGCATTCTCTCTCTCTCTCTCTTTTTCTTGTATCTTTATTTAGATGCGTAGTATTACTGCTCGAAGGCATATATCAATCATAAAACGAATTTCGAAAAGAAAAAAATAGTCCATATGTAAAATCTTTTTCTCTTCTTCTCTCCGTGATGTTGATCAAATCTCTCTTCTCGTCGGTAATGGATGATAATTGTACTCATCTTGCTGTATTTAAGAGTATATTTAAATATATCCTTAAAATCAGTGCATTGCAATTAATTTTCAATGACATTAGAGAAAAAATGGAGAGAGAGAGAGAGAGCAATTTTTCATCTTTAACAACGAAACTTTTTTGCCTTATAGACAT